CTCAAACCCAGCCCCCGGGTAAGCGTGGTAACCGCGTACGAGCCCGCCAAAATTTTTTTCGGGTAAGTTGGTGACTCGGGGCCAGGAAAGCTAGAAAGCTGATACTTTAAGGGGGTGTTTCCTGCCAGTTCAGGCGGCCAGTCTTAATTTGTTTATCTAGAAGCATTTGCCGAAAAAACCAGTACCGGTAGCGACAAAAACTGCGGAGAACTATGCAAAAAACGCATCTTCGCACGAGCAGCCCATGTGTTGGCCAATTATTTTTTTCATCATTTTCTACCTTATCCTTCAATATTTGGCCAGGAAATTTCAAATCGCTACAAATTTCGAGCAATTCACAAACCTCAACACAATGAACTGCTTTTAGAGGATCACAAATGATACCATCGATTTGCAATTCTCTCTTGTACATTTTCATTTCGCCCTCTTCTGTGAACAATTCCCATACCTGAAAAGTACTTTCTCTCTTCTTTCGAAAACCAAAAAAAAAACGGCATCTTTTTTCCCCTTACAATTTAACATTTTCAACTTCTCCGATAAACGCAAGCTTTTTCCAAAGCTACATATGCCAGAAGCTAAATAGTAGAGTAGTAGAAGGCAGTACGGGCCGTAACGGCCCCTATAAGCAATGGCTAAAGAGCTCATGGACAGGAACAACGGCCAATTCAGTGAAGGGTAAAGAACAGTAGGGGCGGTACTGCTATTGAAACTGCTCCTGAGGTTTCCACTTTTCTTCATTTGCTAACCATAAACCAAAAGCATCTTCTACAGCATAAGATACAGCATCTCCGATCCTTTAATCCCAAATCGTTTCCGGTAACAAAGAAATATGGTGATCCAAAGAAACGCAAGGCAGTAAATTCCATACTATGCCTCTTCTTCACCAGATTTTCTAAATCGGACTGGGGGGTAGAAATGAAACAAATGCAAGATGTTTGGTGCTAAATTCGTATCTCAAGCTTTTTCACGCAAAAAAAAACTGAGTTCTTTCTATTGCAAATCGGAAAGCCTGAGTCTGATTCAGGGTGCAAACATTTATGATTCTAGGCTTTGAGACATGAGTAAGCGTTCATGAATTATGTGTCAAAACTTGCTGGTTCTGAGGTTTCTACAGCCAAAATCACATAAAAACTGGATCCAACCGCAAAACCCGGACGATATTTGTTCATCTATGATTGAGAACTTGTAGTTTTTGTGACAGCTATACCTCCCTCGCTCAATCTTCAGAGGAATGAAATGAAATGAAGCTTGCTAGGATCTAATTAAGTAAAACTGTCGATGAGGGAATGGCCAAAAATTATATTTGTGTACGTGAGATATTAAATGGGAGGGGTGGGAAATTATGATATGAGCTGCAGCCTGGAGGAGGTACTCTTTTACGAATTTTGCTAACTGCAACAATTATGAGGGAAAAAAACGAGATACGGTTATAATTAAAATTAAATTATGGGACTATTAAAAACCATGATAGTATGCAAATATGCGGGGCAGGTAGGTGGTGATCAAAACTAAACGAGATATAATAATCGCTATTCTCAAGATAATAATTATTTATTTTTTATCGTGATAATTCAATATTAACTAACGTGATCGTGCACTCCAGCTTGTGCATACTTCAACTGCTCCGCTGCAATTCGATTGATTTCTTCGGCAAGAGGATGCGAACCGGGCAGTGAGACTTCTTTCGGAGGAGATTCTCCGATGTCTAACTCTTTCGCACTCAAGATCATTCGCTGGGACGAAGACGACGATGATGACGATTTCGGAGCAACTTTTCTTGCTACATTCTTCTAAAAATATGTAAGTGAAAATATGTAAATTCAAAAAAATACTGAAAAGAAAAAATACGTAAATTCAAAAAAAAAAAAA